CAACCATAAAACGGTTTCTGCTTTGAAGAGTATATTCTTAGGAAATGATTTGCATGCCTCCAGGACAACTTAACAGAGACCTAATGTGGGTGTTTTAACTGCTCAGAGTCAAACAAGAGCCAGGTTTTTAGGTAAAACAACTCCTCGGATGCAGCTATCAAATCTGACCTTCACTTTGAAAGCGTGGAGAGCTTCCTTTTTCCTTTGGCAGCACATGAGGACTGCTGCTTAGACACAGCTGGGCAAGGAGCACTTTGCTGTTCTCCCCCTCACTCCCCAGTCTGCAGGACAGGCTCTGGGCTGGACCGGTCTTTGGCACAGTTTAGCATTATTTCAAAAAGTGCTCTAAACCATTCAGGGTCGTCAATGGTCACCTAAAAAGCTAGCGGTGGCTACAGCATAACAGTGCTCTAGGTATAGTTTCTTTATTTTTTATTTTTTTTTTTTTTTTAAAACACCAGGCGCTCCCAATTCAAGAGCAGAGCAAATCTAGGAATGATGACCGCTTGGTTGTAGGAGTTGGAAAGCTGCACTGCCAAATCAGACCTGGCCAACAGGACCATACCACGAATTGTGGGTCAGGGAAAATAAATTGCATTTTCTATAAAACAGAAGTCTCAGGGCTGTTATACAAGCAATGCCGTTTATCATCCGATTTAGTTTGATAACATCAAACAGGGAGTGAATGCAGATTCCACACTGCAATGCCAGAGAGAGCCGTACAACGTAGGTTAGGCCGTCAGCTGCACATACTCTACTGCAGAGGACTAACAGCCCTGAGACTTTTTTTTTTTTTTTTTTCTGAAACCTTTTTTCACGTGAGGTCTTGCAGAACTGGAGTAGTTCGTGTCATCATGGGTACAACTGCAAAATACTGCAACTTGTGTATGCTGCTGCAAAAAACATCTCAAAGCGGCCCTCCTCAGCTGGACAGAGGACACATTGCCAACCTAGGCTGCTGGTTGTGAACTAGAGTCCCCAGAACAAAATTTAACTGCATCAACTGAAAGGACCCAAATGACCCAAATGACTTCAATGATATCTGAATCAGCCGCAGGACCCATCTGCCAAAGCTGCAGCTGGCTGGATCCTGCGGCACCTACCTAACCCAGCATCCAACAGGAACTGTCAGACAAACAGGCCTGCTTTGTTTGCCCATCTCGCGATTTCTTTTTCACAACTCCTCATTGTTTTTCTTTATTTATGTTAAACACAAACCACTTTGTCAGCTGCTTGTGTCCTTTCATGCAAGTCTACTTAATGGGCTTCCTCCTCTCTCTGGACTTCTTGGCCAACTCTTTAGCTTGGGTGGCATCTGTACGTTGCTGTATCGCAGTTCAAATTCTGTCTCTCCCGGGTCACTGAAGTATAGCGTGAAAGTGAGAATTTTATGGACTACAAAAGTGCTATTCCCACAGGGAAAAATTCAGCATTTTTCTGTGTGCTCAGATTTCCTTTGAAGTGGAAACAAAAGATAATTTTGAAAGACAAACTTAGACTTTGAAAATACTTTTCTTAGCAAATTGCCAAAATTTTTCATGCTGGGAAGAAGCTTCATTTTTAACGAGCTTCCTTAAAAAAAGAAAATAAAAAAATAAAAAAAATCCACGCCAACATTCCTCTCCCAGCAAAGAGGTTAAAAAAAATGGTGAAAAATAAACCTAACTAACTGCTCCGTCTCCACAGCTCATATCAGCGATTTAAATACTTGTGTACTTAAAATGAGTTTTTAACCCTAGTCTATTGAAGACTAACAATTAATATATTTTTTTCTCACTTAAAAATTATTCTTGGTTCTACGGATCAAATCACCATGTTACTGCAGAGTATAAATTCTCTACTTGGATCAGCACAGCCTCTGTCCCTGCCCAACTCTGTGAGACGTCATATATTTATTTCTCTACCAACTTGAGGTTAATTTACAGTTACTATAACTGGAGAAAATTGAAAAATTTTCACTAGGGTTAGTTTGAAAAAGGACAAAGAGAACAGCCATTACTAGGTGGAAGAATGTGGCAGTGATGTTGAGAGGAAATGGTATTGGAAAGGTCTGTTCATGAGGCATGTCTAATGATCTCGCTCAAAGAAAAAAATCTTAAAGCACACTAATGTTGGTATCCCCCCCGCCCAGAGCATCTAGTTAAGCTACGAGACACTACAGTCAGGTCAAATCAGACCAGGAATATTTTTGAAAAGAAGTTCTCCAAACAACATAAGCAAAGCTAAGTCACCCAAACTACGTGGTCCAGCAGCGACACAAGCAGCAAAATGACGTTTTGTGTTTCCATCTTCAGCTTCATGGGAAACAGAGCCCTAAACCATAAAAACACTTATGCAAAACTAATTACACCAAGAATTAGTCCAAAGTATTTGCCATTACTGAAACAAACAACTGCAAAATAAACTTGAATGTTACTTTACAAACATGCCTTGTTAACCTGGGCAAAAGGAATTAAAAACAAAAAGTGAGCAGGAAACCCCATGCCACACCCTTCCATGAAGCAAAGCAACAACAGACTGCAAATTTGTACATATAGACCAGGAAACTCAAACAGTGTATTTTCAAAAAATTAAGCATGTTTAGCGCGCGCAATGGAGCAGACACAGCTAGAAGATTAACTTTTGCATTACCAACTTTTTAATGTTTGTCCTTGCAAAATTTCCAGAAACAAATATTAGGCACCCCCCCCCCCCAAAAAAAAAAAAAAAAGAAGTAAGCTTTTTGTACTCAAAACTACAAACAGGCCTGATCTTCAGAAAGAGCTCCCACCCTTAGAAGCATGGCTTCTACAAACCATGACAAATTTAGGACCCCACTTTTTTTTTTTTTCCCTTAACTTGTGGAATTGTTGGGTGCAAGTCTATTGCACTGATACAGGCTTTACTTTATATAAAAGCAGAAAGTACGTTTTGCGCTCTGCCTCTTTTTCTCTCGTCCTTCACAAATAATCTACTGAAGCTTGCCTTGAGTTCAGTACTAGGAACGCTTTCCTAGCGTGTGAGACAGAGCACGAGTGTAGAAAAGGTAATGCTTTTTTTTTTTCCCCCCCCTCTCCTTTCCTCCACGCTTACTCGGTAACAAATCTAACTCAGCCTAAAACCTAAAGCAAAGAAGCAGAAGAACTATTATCAGATAACGCCAACCCAACCAACCTCCTTTATTCTGTACTCAGAAAGCATCCAAACCACTTAACACAATCTTAAAAGAAAGGAGGAAAAAATGGCCACGGATGATTTAGACAAACACGCTCTTTAGCATTCTTCTCTGGGCTGAGATCTCGCCTCTCTCATTCTACCCGACAATGGACAGACAATATAGGAGCACTGGACCACAGCAGGAGGCCAAGCTGCTTTATTGTACTGCTTTTCAAGTATTTCTTGGCCAAACAATGAATCACACAGGCTCAACTAGTAATGCCAAACTCAAAATGTACTGGGAGAGCTATTAAACAAGCGACAAGCGTGCAGACGTTAGGGAGTGACACCTCAAAGTCTATTCAGCTAAAAGTACATAAGACAAGTTGTCTGTATGGCATCTACAAGCAAGAAAACCCTTGAGTCCTCCCAGCAAGTCCCCTGAAGCGCTCGCTCTCTCTTTCTCTCTCTCTCTCTCTCTCTCTGAGGCAAATCACTGTTGAAACTCTTCTTTTCTCCCCTTAGATACCAGGGCAAAGAGAGAGACATGAACAGTACGTTCCCCTGAGACAGTGCTCCTTTGCTGCCTTATTAGTTAGTCTGCAAATAGTTTAAACAAACATCCTTGCTGGAGCATTCTCCTGTGCACATAACGTCACCTTCCCACTCGAAAAGAAGATAGGGGAAGTTTCTTGCTCACAGAGACAGTACCAAACCAAAAGGCAGTGGTGCAGATGACAAAATCCAACCACCACCAAGAATTTCATGACTGTGAGAAAAGGCAGGAACAGCGTAAGGTGCTCTCTTCCTTCAGGGCCCAGAGTACAGTGCCAAATACAAAAGAAAAGCAG